GATAAAAATATGCTATATAGAAAAATGATTTTAGATTTTTTCTTTAAAGAGTGTTCTTAGATTTATTAAATAAAAATTATGCCCTCACTTCACTGACTATCGAATCCAGAATGCATAACATTTGAATTTCCATAATTTGACTGATTAATTTGATCTCTACCGGATTGGATGTTTGTATCACAATTTGACTTTTAAATAAGTGATTATTCCAAATCTTATGTTTACATAAAAATATATTGTGCATTGGGAAAGTATCCATTAGTGGCCCTTTCAAATATAAGCAACAGTTTATTTAAAAATATATTATGCAGTTAATGCCACAAAATATTTTTGGACATGAAACATCTTCAGAATAATTTTTATTAATTGCATTTGTTAAATACAGGAAGAGAGAAAATTGTTACATTCTAGTTAATTTGGCGGCTGTTAAACAAGATATCATGTTTAGAAATTGTTTTCCATATTATTTGAAGTAATGAAAAGTATTAAATATATATGTTATCCTTGTCCTATGAAAACAAGCAATATTTTAATTTCTTTCAGAAAATGTTCCCAAACTTCACTTAGGAATTAATAGATAATTTAATAATAGTATATTATTTCTTGATCTTTTGATGGTAAGAATTGCTGATGTCCTCTAGACTACAATTTACTAAAAATGAGTTGGCAACCCTGAAAGAATCCTGTATTATTATATTATTATTATTATTATTATTTTTGTTTGTTTGTTTCATCATCCTCATAAACTGGCTTTTTATTTCTATTTAAGGCAATCTAAAAAATTCTCTTTTATACCCAAACATAATGAAAATGAGTGTAAATGCAGCCTACAAACTGCAATGAACACTATGCACCTTCCTGGTTTTGTTGAACAATTTATCAAGAAATTGTATAGGCAAACTGCATTTATTTATGTAAAATTATTGCTTATACGAGTATGAAATAGTAGCAGATATACTGAAACATTTTCTTTCTATCCCATCAGTTTTCAAAATATTTGTTATGAACTTGGCATAACCCTGTCCATCTGTAAATAGATAAGGATGGACAAATCAAATGTCACCACAGTAGATACATCAGGTATGTATACTGTCCTGATGTGCAGTGAATATACAAAGACAAAATCAACATATTAGTTTGACATCTAAAATTTTGTCAATAAAAATTGCCGAGCATTTAAAAAAAATTACAGATTCTGTGCGAACTAGTACACCAACAAAAGTAGCATAGTATTTTCAGTTAAATACTCCTCAGAGTATCTTAACTTAATAACTGAATGAGCAAAGACAAAATCATCATAAAGTGCAGGCATAAAAGCAGTCTTAAAATTAAGAGAGTGCTAGAAATTGCCACTAAACTATGCTGGTCGAAATTGCCATTAGACCACGTTGCAACTGGGACCTCTCTTTCATATATCTCGAAGTCCATATATCTATACCATATATCTCGAAGTCAATTATGAAAACTATTGCAACCCTGCTTAAAAAAATAAAAGACGGGAACTTGATCTAGGCATTCATTCCAACTCCTGATGATGCAATTGGGTTCATCTGTGTAAACTCTTATTATACTAATGTTTCTGTGTTGTTTTAGCATGTTGACATAAAACATTTTATTTCATTTTTAACTTCATCCTAACCACATGTATCTTTTAATTCTTCAAAATATGTTGGTAACTGTATCTAAGATAGTTAATATAAAAGAATGAAATTCATAAATGAATAGATATATATTCATTTATGAATTTTATTCAATGCAGAAAGATATAGATTCCAGATATAGCTATGTATTATTTTTTATTTCTGTTTGGAGAATCAGTTATCTTAGCATTTGAGAGACAGCGGTTTGAAATTTTGAAAAATTGCAAAATAACACTGCGTTAGTGAACATAATTAAATACATCTCTATCTGCCAGTCTGTGTTATTTTATTATCTTAATTATTTTAGCTGTATGTATTTTTAACATGAGTAGGTTTGTATATATTGCAGAGTTGCAACTCTCCGGATTTTCAACCACTCTCCCGCCAACCCGATTAACAATATATTTCTCCCGACTTTTTCTTATTCTTAAAATTTTTATAGACTTTGTTAATATGAACCAAAAAAAAAAAAAAAAAGTGATTTTGGACGTCTGAAATTTTCTCTAGATTATATCTAAAACAATTATTAATTGCGAATTAGATAACTTCTGCTTCGTGAGTGAGAGCATATACGTATACAGAAACATCGTTCTCCAGTTCTCTAATGGGCATCGTGCTCCACTGCATGTCATCTGGCATATATTAGCCAATAATGACAAAGCAAGCTGTTATTTGATATTCTTTAGTTATTTCGGTCATTTTGTCCTGAGTTGTGTGAGTACAAGTGCCTTCGGGAAATAGTTTTAGAAAGTATCATCTTTTGTTATGTCTGCGAGAAAGGTGAAATACTCGTGTACGTTTCAAAAATCGTACACAGTTGACTTTCCTTCCATTATTTCCTTCCATAATTTTTTCAGACTGAAGAAAATGTAATCAATTTGCGATGTGTACCGCCTGTCATTGTGATTTTTCGATTTTGGATGGTGGAAGGGCAGATGTTCTCAAACATGTCCATACACAAAAATGCAATTACAACATGAGTTGTTTTGAAAAAAACGAAAAATTAAATTTTTCTTTGGAAACAAAGGACCAAAAAGATATTAATGCAAAATGTCTGTTCTGCCTTTTTACTGGAGCACAACCTGACACTGAATACATCAGATCACGCTGCAGCTTGATTTAGAAAAATGTTTCCCGATAGTGAAATCGCTAAGAAATACTCAAGTTCAAGAACCAAAACAGGTGAAATTGTTATTCCAATTATGGATTTGAAAAAGAAATCTTCAGTTATTAATTGCATTAAAACAGCTCCGTTCTGCCTCTCTACGGATGGAGGCAATAATACCGTTTCAAAATTGTATCCAATTGTTGTTTCTTTTTTTAATCCAGAGTTTTCAGAAATTGAGTGCAGTTTACTTTCTGTCCCCACTTTAGAAGGACATCTGACAGGCTTTATTATAGCACAGCTAATTATTAAAACTGTAAAAGAAAATGCAGTCCCTCTTAGCACTTGGTGTTGATAATGCATCAGTATTGGTAGGCTTGGGAAGACTGGTGTTGCAAACATCTTAAGAAAGGAAAATTCAGATTTGCAGATTATGAGGTGCACCTGTCACCTCTTAAATTTAGCAGTTGAAAAAGGGGCAGCTTCTTTACCAATATGTTATCAATATGTTTGGATGAACACATTGTTGATATTTATTATTATCTTGAAAGGAGTTCTAAAAGGAAGGAAAAATTGAAACAGTTCCAACAGCTGCATAACAGCAATTTACAATTAGAAAACTTGGATGAAGTTATAAAATCAGCTAGGATTGACACCCAGTGGAATTTAATTGGAAAACTGAAAAATGCTGATGGAATTTTAAAATATAGTGAACTGCCTAGAATTATGTAGGCTATTTTGACAGCTCCTCATAGTAATGCAGAGTGTGAGAGGATTTTCAGACAGACAGATTTTTTTTTCATTGTTGAGAAAACGAGGACTAAATTTAGATCTAATATTAGTGATGTCACATTAGAAAACTTTTATTAGCAAAAGCAGGACTACGTGGCATTTGCTATGAACAAAATTATAAAGTTTCTTTCTTAAAGAAAGCAAAATCTGCCACTGTTTATAACATTTGTACAAAAACTGATTAAAGTAATTTCCTCCCCCCTCCTTCTCTTAAACGATACAAGTAAACAAATGTTTTTTATGTGTAAGGTATTTTTGTGTTGCTTGCAATTATGAATTAGTTACCATTTAAAGTTAATTCATTATTAAAAACTATATTTTCATCATTTAAAAAGTCTGTTTAACATTGTAAAAAATCTCCTGATTTTTGAGTGTCATAGGTTGGCAAGTATGATATTGTCATCAGGAATAACCAGGATTAAAAGTTAAAAGATCTTCCTTGTAAACTTTGTGATACAGTATAAAGTCTGTAATCCAGACGTCCATAATCCGGAATGATCTATAATCCAAACCTCAAAGCTACAAACATTATACGCATGCATAAGTGCATTAATTTGTTTATGCATGCGCATTTAATGTATAATGGACGGTATAAGCTAGGCTAAAATTATCTAAGGTATTTCAGTTAATGTTGCAGATTGCGCTGTTCCTTAATCTTCTAATTGGATCCGGCTTATTAATTTTTTCAGACTGTTAGAACAATTTTATAAAAATTAAGCTTGAACTTTCGATTATGTCAAAAAGAATTTCCAATTCTGGAGCTGTCAAAGGATCTACAAAGCGAAAGCATGTTTCGATGTCCGTTAAACAAAAAGTGGAATTGCTGCAAAAAATGGATAAAGGCCTATACGTCTAATAAAGTAAACAAAGAAATATTAAGCTTTTTTTTTGTAAATTTTGATACCCTATAGATCATAATTGTTCTTTATTTCATAAAATGCGATTTAATATTTTTAATTGATTAATTTCTGTATGCCATCTTACCAGATTTAAATTGATGATCTATAATCTGGAAAAACCCCTAATCCAAGTGCCGACAACTCCAGATTACGGACTTTGTACTGTATAAATAATCAACAACAGAATCAGGCACGTAATCACATCATCTTTCGATTCTTATCTGCTGATCATTGGCTAAATATGGTTTCTCAAAACGCGTTTTTCTCAAAACTATGTTTTTAAAGTCGGTTGTCAAGATTTCTCAAGACTGCTCCACCGATCTCGATGAAATTTTAAACAGTTCTTCGAGATATAATTTACAAGGACTTGGATGAAGGATTTTTTTTTCAATTACAACTATTTTTTCTTTTTTTCCGAAAATGCCACGAAATTTTTATCGAATTTTGCATTTTTATGTAAAAACCGCTGTCAAACATTTAATTTAATTTTTTTTTACCCCTTCATCCAATTTCTAGTTTGAAGCCTTGACTAAAACACAGATTTTTTTTTTTTTTTCACTTCAGATGATCCTGCTAGGAGTAATGCTGTCAACGCGAATGCACCTTTTTTCCAAGGGCTCGCCGGGAATGACGTCACAATGGCGGAGTTTTTAATATTTTTTTCAAACATTTCAGAAATTGTTTATTAAATATGTTCCTTTAAGATAATAAAAAAATGAATTAAATATTTCATTTATTATGTGAAAAAATCTTGAAAATACGCCGTTTTTACTCAGATGAAACCCATGTAACCCCTTAAGAATAACTCATTTGTTATTCACGTAAACCCAGACCCAGTGCCAGGGCTCATATGGCCACATTCAATCACAGAATTTAGGACCCACAGAGACTACATCAGGCGGTAAGACATCTAGCACCTGCCCTCAATAAGTCTTAAATATATGGTGGGAATTTATTTAATCAGAATGCTGATAAGCCTTAAGCATGTGCAAGAAATAGATATAAAATAAATAACTAATGCAATTCAGGCTTAATTGTCTCAGTGCACGATAGAAGCAAAATAAAATTTAACGGAACATGATAGCCATAAATTTTAAAGGTTTTCATGTATCGCAAAACAACGGTGAAATTTTCCATTTAACAAATTTTGTAAAGAAAGGTGGAGAAGAGGTAATAAATCAGGATAATGGAAAAGATGTTTTTATATCATGAATGGCGAAATCTGTAGTATGGTTCTAGATCCAGAAAATACCGCTACCGGTAGTGAAGAAAGTGACAGAGAAGTTGCTGAAAATCAGAAAATTTCTATTGACAAGTTATTCGGAATTCTCGAAACAGCAGTTACAGGACTTCAACAATATAACTGGACAAGAGATTACATTTATTGAAATTTATTGAAAGAATTTAAGAGAAAGTATTAGCACAAAAAACAAAGTAGCTTAAAACAAGTTATATTGAAAGAAATGTTTAGTAAGGTAAACAAATAAATATTAAGCTTTTTTTTTAATAAATTTTGAACTCCTTTAGATCATAAATACTTTATTATTTCATAAATCATGATTTCATATTTTTAATTTTATAATTTTACATGCCATCTTACTAGATTTAAACTGATGATGAGTCTGAATTTCGGACTTTGTACTGTACAATGAAGGAGTTTTGGATATCATTTCTAAATTTAATGTAAGACAGCCAGTGAAGTTCTTGCAAGTAACATATATTGATAGAGTTTCTGTCTTTAAGTAACTGAGCTGAAAACAATATTGCAGATAGTAAATTCTTACAAGTATTATTAATACAAATGTCATTTGTTTTGCTGATTTTATTGTATATTTTTTACATATTAGGCAGCTTCCCAAAACTTTCTTCACCAGTTGGCAACCTTTAGGAATCCAAAGCTTCTATTGTGGTTGTGCTAAGGTCACAGTGACTTCTGTATGTAGAATGTTATGTTCTGGCTTAGCAATTAATTTAGTAAATTTCAAGTCTTTAGTATGAAGACTATGTATTTTTTGTCAGTTGTATATTCAGTTTCTTCTTATATTCCTTTAATTTGAAGAAACTGGTTTTCATCCCAAAATGGTGCCAAGCTGAATGTGCTGGAGTTCAGTGAAGTAAACTTGCCAGATTGAAGTGTCCTAATTTTAAATGTAAAGAAATTCATCTGAACTTTGTGAGTACAAAATATTTCACGATCTTAAATTTCAGAAGCACTTAATTGGCCACTGTTAGCAAATTCATTTCTTGCTCTTGCAGTGGAGCATTGGATCCATGCTACATTTCTGAAAATTTTCAACATATTGAATTTCTTAATACCTAATACTAGTTGTTCATCTCTTTTCACTGTAATATTCTAAACAAGATATCTTAAAGTATGGTGCTGTAATTGTTTATCATTCATTTTGACAAAATTATGTTTAACTGGCCAATTTATGCATTGTTTATGCACTATTTAATTTGTAATCATTCTGGGCTAAACTACCAAATTGAGTTACTTTATGTCAGAGAATTTACTTTTAAACTACTGGATAATAAGTCTGTGAGATTTTTCTTTCTACTACAATATTTCCAATTACTGGGAGTCATCATGGCTTGAATTTCAGCTACTTAAGGGAGACAAGAAGTTACTAGTTCTTAGAAGATCCTTTGTTCTTAGAAGATCCTAGTTTAATACAGTTTGTGAATCTATCCTGAGTATCTCTGTTGATAGATATGATTAAATAATTTACCTAGATACTTTGCAGTTCTGACTGCTATAACTGCTTTCATATTTTCTAAGTGAGGTAATGTACAATTTTAAGAGGAGCTGCTCTTTAATAAAATGAAACTTATTTATATATATCTAAAATATACTACACTTCCATATGCATTATTATTTGCTTCACAGAATGTATGTCAAGAAATATTACTATTTAGTTTATCACCATTTTGAAAGGATTTTCTATCAAGCAGTAATCCTTGTAAATAAGTTTTTTTTCATTAGCCATTTCTTAAATTCAATCTTAGCATAATTTGGGAAGTGTTTGCCCATCAAGACTTTTTACCCATACTTGTGATTGCAAGATTTTAATTCTAATTCCTGATGGGGGTATAAATCCAATTGGACCATAGATCTGTAACTTACACAGCTGTTTTAATATACAAGGTGAGTCTAAAGTATTTTTAAAAAGTAAAAGGGGTGATAGTGCCTAATAAGATGAGCAATAATTACAGTGGAACATAAGGTTGCATTCCATTCTGAGAGGCAGAAAGGAGTAAAGTCAAAACATATCGAGTATGAACAAGTCATCAGCTCTGATGTCTTTTTGTATGGGCCCACATAATGTATCTCTTAACCAAGATGGCATGGTCACTAGCACACTGGCATCCAATTCAGAGGTTGCAGGTTGAAATCACGATGTAAGTATGGATGTTCGAAGTGGTTTGGAATCAACTTTAAGTGGTGGGTTCCAGTCTACATAGACCTTGTGTGCTGACATCATTGTAGTGCAGTAGACCAAACAAACCGTAGGCAAATTTTGATAACATCATCTGAAAATTTCATGAAGGCAGCGGCAGAACATGCGTACAAGAAATTGGCAGATGTGCACCTCACATACAGTGAAACAAAAGGGAATGGATGTGGAGCACGAAAGTTACATAAGTAGCAGTTTTCAATGCCTTATATTCCGAGTCATCTACCTCCGGTAGTGTTGATCATTGACTACAAGAAACTGGTTCACTTGACATCTCAAACAGCAATGCAGGATATTCGCAAAATGTATGAAAACCAGAAATGGAAGAACGATTCTTGATGAGAATTGCAGCAGCTTCTTCCGTGCATATAGAAATGGTGGCATACAAAATGGTGTTTCTCAGAAACTGGTCTGGTATATTTTATGCAAGGAATGCATTTGTGTACCTCACTAAAAAGTGTGCTGTTTATGCAAGATTATTATCCTGATGAAGCAGACTCTGTGCAATGGATGCTCAGGAAAAAAAAAGAACAATTCACAATTTCCAACATTAGTATTATTTAGTGATGAGGCAACATTCAACAGAGAAGGCATTTTCAATGTGCACAATCAAATACTTGGTCTGACAGCAATCCCCACTGCACTACCCCACCCCTTGTAAACACCAACAGAAATTTTTCATGAGCATCTAGGCAGGTATCCTTGATGATTATGCAGTGCAACATACTTATAGTCTTGGAACAAGTGCTTCTGCTAGTGGTAAAGAATTCAACTCACATGAAGGAAACTCAGGATCAAAATTCAAGGTCATTATCAACTTCAAGGGCAAGCAAAACTTGTGTAGTCTTGCACTTCTCATTGGTGCTAATAGATGGTGACATGAGTGGGCATCCCCCCAGCTGATTGCTACACTTCTGTATTTGTTCCCTGATATAAATCATCAACATATAAAAATGAATTCAATGTTTCAAAACTTTCAGGTTTTTTTTACTGGTATATTTTTAATATGGTAGTTTATTGTAGCTGCTAGGATAAATGGACTAGAAATAACCCAAATATTAAATTTGTCATGTTCATAAATTTGAATGATGCACAACAGTCATTTTGAAATCAAAGTAATTTCAAATATCTACATCTTCTTTTGGTGGTACTTGTTGTGATATTCGAAATTTAAGAATGACATCTGATATGTTAGGATTAAAATTAGGTCCAACCTCTAACAAATCATTTAAGAATTTGAAATTTTGTCCTTTACCTGATGCATCGGAAACATTTCTAACATGAGAAGTTTGTTTATGAGGCCTTTTCACTATAATATACAGGGTGCATCAAAAAATTTATACACCATTTGAACTGTCATAAAAAATTTAGTTTCCAACTGACAAGGTTAACTTTTTGGTAAAAGTAGGGCAACAGTCCAATACGAAAAATAAGTATACTGTGATTAAGTAAATATTCAAAATGGTGGTCTTAAGCATCGATACATTTCTGAGTACAAGTCACGACTGATTACATACTTTGCACCAAAGTGTTCAATGGGATTTCTGGGCACATTATTTGAATCTCATCCCAAAGTGTGTCAAGGCTACGTGATCTAAGATGATACACTTTTTCTGTGACTGCACCACATAAAATAATCGAACAGCGTAAGGTCTGGAGAGCACGCAGGAAACTCGATTGGTTCCCTGCATCCTTTCCACTGGCCAGGTATTCTTGCATATTCCTGTGATAGTGCAAAGGGGCGCCACCTTGTTGGTAATAAAACATGGCATTACTGTATATTACAGAATATCAGGAAAATGGAATTAGCAAGATTTGTTAGGTACTTTTGCTCCAATTACATAACCTTCGAAACGGAAAGGTCCAATTATTACCCTCGGAGGCAAACCACATGACACATTTTCACCAGGCAGATTCATAGCCTTTTTAACAGTAATGTGAAGATTATCTTCAATCCAGTACACATAATTATGTCTTTTGACAATTCCATTAATTTTAAATTGAGCTTCATCTGGCGAAACAATGTTACCCATAAATCCTGGTTTACATGTAACCATCTTCTGAACCCATTCACAAAATTGGACCTGAACACCATCAATATGTGTCGTAAACCATGTCATCTTGACACATTTTGGGATGAGATTCAAGCAATGTGCACAGAAATCCCATTGGACATTTTGGTGCAAAGTGCGGAATCAGTCCTGACTTGTACTCAGAAATATATTGATGCTGAGGATTACCATTTGAACATTTACTTTAAAACACCACCTGA